CACAAATACCAATAAATTGATTACAATGCTAACAAGCAATAACAGTCAAAAAATAACAAAACTAGCAAGCTACATTGATAATTGTTTCCAGTGCCAGAGAAAATCATTTCAAAAACCAACCAGCTACTTAATTAGCAGGACTGGTAAGGGGTGCATGCATACAATGTAAGACATAAACACATCAATTCTTTAAATCAATTCACTTGATAACAATATGCTTTGTGTTCTTAGGGATTTCTTCAAAGAAAGAGTTTGGAAATGAAGCGCTTTTAATAATTCAGTGCGAAAGTGCCAACAAGAATAGTAATCTGATCCAATGTGCAAGACATATAGTACAGGCAGAGAGATCTCAGATAATTAAAACTGGAACTGAAATTGATGGACATCCAAAGCATGTCATATTTATTATTCAAGTTGCCAGAACTACTGATGACCTTTTTTATGGTGTGCAAGGTAATGTAGTACAAATATAATATCAGGGCTAGTAATAGTATCTTTATATTACATGTATATGTACTAGCATGGAGGTAAAAAGAATATATTCTTCTATACAATTAGAGAGATGGGGGGGGGGGGTAGTGCTGGTTGTATGAAACTAAAATTAGTCACCAGAATATGGAAAAGCTATGTGTGTATATACTAGTATACCTATCTGGGTTATAGTTGTAGAAATGTAAGGGATTATATCCTTCACAAATGTCAAGTAAACTCACACAAAAATGTTCTTTCCAGCTGTAAATTCACATTGACCTAACATTGTGTTAAAACAAAGCAAAACATGCCATAACATTTGTTCTCGGAAAGGCAAATATTTTGTCAAATTTTCACCAGTTCTAAATAAAATGTAAATTTTCACACACAACTTGACTTACGAACAATTAATTTGTAAAATTGACAAGTTGACATACAGTTTGTTAAACTGTTGAGGCAGCAGTTTGCTACTCAATATTAAAAATACAGGTTTAATGTGTAATATTAAACCATGTTTATGACGCAAATCTCATGCTCTCTCGCGTGATATTTACATAGATCTCGCACTTTCTCGCGTGGCTCAACATCACAATCAGTTTGTTTCTGGCGCCATATTGGAAGTAGCCTGAAAGTGTTACGGAGCTTCTGCTATTCTTGTTTTATTCACCCGCCACCATCCCCATTCTCCCCCATTAGGCTGGCATTAACACCAATTCGGGGGACTTCGCTTATGGGATTAGCTCATATTCCCCCAAGATCATTCATATTTTCTTAGGTATATTTTGCGTGGGTTTTATTATTATTGTTAATTTTATTATTGTAATTACTAATACCTCATTAACGACTTCACAGGCAGCCCTCGCTGCGTCAATGTCTAAACTCAGTAGTTGCAGCCCCCGCTGCCTCTACCCATAACCTCTTAACTTCATGCAGCCCCCGCTGCATAACCATGGTGTAGCCGCAGCACTCGCTGCCTATACTTTACAGTTGCAGTCATGCTGCAATCTGCCATTCCATACTAACATCATGCAGCTATGCTGCACCAACCAACATGTTTTCAGTCTTATTCTAGTTTAGAAACTGTAAGCCAGCTAGTTTACACCTGCTTTGTTCTACATTTTGGGGGCGGCACCAGGGACCATCTTATCAGTCTGTTATGCATTGCATCACTTTTGTGTACGATGGTCTTGTGGTGTGCCCCCCTATTTGCCAAATAAATTATTGGTCATGTACATGCTCTTGTGTTTGTGTCATAAATAATGTTATTTTTTTAGCTCCGCTGTTGACATTGTTGAGCAGAACTGATCATATTACTGATTGTCTGTCGTCGTCTTCTGTATGAAAACAACTAGTCTGATTACTTTGATGCTATACATATAAATGGATCTCAGATTTGTTCATTTCGTGATGATATCTTCAATTCTATAATTTTGATGAATATTTTTGGTAAAAAGTGATATTTTTGACTTATTGTTGAAAATCGGAAAACAACTTGTCTAATTGTTTTGATATGATACATATAGGTACCTCTCTCAGATTTGTTCATTTCATAATGATATCTTTAATTCTCTAATTTTGATGAATATTTTTGTAATTTTTGGTAAAAAGTGTAAAAACCTCAAGTCAAATTGCTTTGATATTGATCATATAGGTACTTCAGATGGGCCTCTTTCAGATTTGATATTTTCAATTCTCCAATTGTAATATTCATTGCCAACAGTGAAGCTATCCCAGCTGGGAGGCTACTTGTTATTTTTACATATGTGACTTTTCATGTTACGAGGATGGAAGAAATGAAATAAAAATATAGGGTCACCATACTCAGTTCAGAGAAAATTGATCTAAAGAAATGAATAGATATAACATATCCTGTTTTGTTTTAAGGCAATTTACCATTGTTTCCTATGGCAAGAATAAATCTCAACATTTTAGTCGGTGATTTAGAATGAAAAATTGAGTTAGTGTCTAACAATGTACTTTTAATTTCTACGTATTAAAAAAAATACGTTTTTAATGGTGAAATGCATGTTCATTGTATGTTCACATACTGTTAATGAATACTTAAACAATTAATTATAGACAGATCTTGAAATAAAACATTGTCAATACTATATGTGCTAAAATATGTGCAATTGACGAAAACGTACGAGTAGCATTTCACCTTGAATGATGCAACCTGTTGTATTTATTTTATCACAGGTGGCAAATGGCTCTCAATTCACATCGATGAACTAAGACCTCCTCAAACGCTTTCTCCAGATATCACTTTTTACAACAACAAATCGATTAGTGATATTTTTGGCAGTGATGTAACACATTCGGTCTATGACAGAACAACAGAAGAAGCCAAAGAAACATGTATATCTTCCTCACAAAATTATTTGCAAGTGGAAAAACAATACAAAGGTACATTTTATTAATGCACAGATTTTTAAATAAGGTGTTGACATGCACGAGCATAAAAACCTGCTGGCTTGCATATAGGATTCATTATAGTGCTATACACATGTATGTCATTGATTATTGTTATTCTGATACTCCATAATTTATTAGTAGTGGGTAAAAGTAAATACCCCTGCTGACACAACACATCAAGTTTACTGATTTGATCAGAAACAAATGCATTTATACATTTATATAATTTAAACATTTTTCATGTGAAAATATTTATTGTACAAGCAGAATTTAATATGAAAATGATATACAGGTCCAGAACTGATAGAATGTAATATAGTCATATACTCTAGGATCATCTAGATAATGCATAGTATGTGATATAATACTCATCCGATGTTTCACTATTTCATACAGAGAAAGAAAGCACAAGAATGTCGATAATTAATGGGACTGCTCTTCTGAAAAGTTGCATCCATGGTGCTACATCAATGCTTGAAAGTGATGGTACAAGGAGAAAGCAACAACGTGTTTCTATTTTACTTGAACTGTTCAAGGATTTTGACAATGACTGTAATAGTAAGTATATATTATGTGAATCAGGTTTTCCTAATTCATAAGCTGAACACCAAATCACATATAAACAAATTAGATCAATCAGATTGGTGATTTGAGGGAAGATATCTTATATTTCAGTCATATAATTTATATTCGTAATATTGATTTTACACATATCATGGAAGGTACTAACGGAAGGAGCCACAACATTATTGTTTTAGGTTTACCCTATGATCGTTTGTCAATGTTTGTACACAAACATTGGGTCTTCCAATGGGTTACGCTAATCTCAAGCATTTGGTAATAGTCGGAGCTTGTTCGGTAGCAATAGACGAACTGCGCATGCACAAGATTGAAAATGACGTCTAGTTGAATGTTGTTTGGCGAATTTTAATGAAAAATTGGCAGATATAACATCGATTGAAGAAGAACTGATGAACTATTGTGAATCTTTTTGTATTTGTAATGGTGATGAAACGTAATCAATGATTGCCTGTGACAATAATGATTGCATTATTCAATGGTACCATCGTCAGTGCGTGGGTTTGACGCCCGAAACTGTTTGAAATTTTCGACCGCCAGGCATCAGCGAACACCACCAGAAAAGATAGTATCCAAAGAAGGGCATGCCTAGACACTTTCTCTGTGATAATATTTATTAGGAGTTTTTAGGAACTTTTGTAGACACTTGAAATCTTGTTCTTGTTGCAATTGCTAATTATGAAAGCATGTGAAATCTGTGAAATCAAACGTTCATCTGTTGAATTTCCGGTTGTGAAATGCGTAGTTTGACCTTTCACACATAAGTGCGCATGTGTGATGACCGTAGTTTCATAATGCGCATATATTTTATGGTCACGTTAAAAATCGGTGAGGTTATATCATATTCCACTAACTTATTACTTGTGTAAGCAATCGCAAACTATCATCGACATCAAAGACGAACTAGACAATGTCCGTGGCTCCTTCTGTTAGTACCTTCCATGCACATATCAAAGATACCACAGTTCAGTAGATTTTATTTAAATGTCAGTTTTCAAATAGTGCCCCAACACATCACAATATTTTTACAGAACCCTCTTCTGCTGCATTGCAAAATAACTTCTTTAGCCTTGTACAAGAACAAAACTTCTCGAACCAAATTCAATTTATATCGCTGAACACCTTATTGAAAATATAGTAATTAGATTTTACAATACATCCATGCCCGATCAAAGTACACAACATGTAATAGACAAACATCTGTACATAAAATAGGGGGGTATGCCAGTGTTGGCAATTATTGCACCACAACTGTTAAAGATGAGCAACATTATATAAGAGAATATTGTACAATGATTAATAATATTATGTTATACTAAAGACTGTTGAATATATTGAAGGTTAAGTACAAAGCATTTCACGATTCATATGAGGTCTAATGTACTTCAGCCATATCAAGATAATGATTTGTGAATTCCTTATTAATACAAAATGTATTTTATAGGCGGCATTGGTAATATACAATACGTGTCATCATGTTTTCCTTCAATTTATATTTGTTGCTTTTCTGTTTTTTAAGAAATATTAACGTTTAAGGAAGTGTTGAAGAAACGGACATTTCTACTGTTGCAAGAAAGAGATAAAAAAGGCGCATTTCAAACTGAATGGGTGTGCAGGGAGGCAATGTCTTTAGAAAACCTGCAGGTCAATGGTACATTCAGGTAATGGTAATATTTTATTGCATCTTTAGAAAAAGAATGTATTTAGTAGTTGTTAGCAATCTGGGTACATACTATCACCATACTGACGTAACAGGGGATAGGCAGTGTAGCTTCCGCTACATACTATCGCCACAATGACATAACAGGGGATAGGCACTGTACTTTCTGCTACATACTATTGCCACACTGACGTAACAGGGGATAGGCAGTGTAGCTTCTGCTACATACTATCACCATACTGACATAACAGGGGATAGGCAGTGTAGTTTCTGCTACATACTATCGCCACAATGATGTAACAGGGGATAGGCAGTGTACCTTCCGCTACATACTATCGCCACAATGACGTAACAGGGGATAGGCAGTGTAGCTTCCGCTACATACTATCGCCACAATGACATAACAGGGGATAGGCAGTGTAGTTTCTGCTACATACTATCGCCACACTGACGTAACAGAGGATAGGCAGTGTACCTTCCGCTACATACTATCACCATACTGACATAACAGGGGATAGGCAGTGTAGTTTCTGCTACCTACTATCGCCACAATGACGTAACAGGGGATAGGCAGTGTACCTTCCGCTACATACTATCGCCACAATGACGTAACAGGGGATAGGCAGTGTAGCTTCTGCTACATACTATCGCCACAATGACATAACAGGGGATAGGCAGTGTAGTTTCTGCTACATACTATCGCCACACTGACGTAACAGGGGATAGGCAGTGTAGCTTCCGCTACATACTATCGCCACAATGACATACCAGGGGATAGGCAGTGTAGTTTCTGCTACATACTATTGCCACACTGACGTAACAGGGGATAGGCAGTGTAGTTTCTGCTACACACTATCGCCACAATGACATAACAGGGGATAGGCAGTGTACCTTCCGATACATACTATCGCCACACTGACGCAACAGGAGATAGGCAGTGTAGCTTCCGCTACATACTATCACCATACTGACATAACAGGGAATAGGCAGTGTATTTTTTGCTACATACTATCGCCACACTGACGTAACAGGGGATAGGCAGTGTAGCTTCTGTTACATACTATCACCATACTGACATAACAGGGGATAGGCAGTGTAGTTTCTGCTACATGTACTATCGCCACACTGACGTAACAG